CTGTCTCTTATACACATCTAGATGTGTATAAGAGACAGGCTTTCATCTGCGCCGCCTCGAGTTCTTTCACTACCTTCTGATTCCTTCCCATACTTCTCCGGCGTACTCTAGCGGCGGTACGATTACGCTCTTCAAAACCGTCAATTTGATGCGTGTATCGAGGTGCCGGTTCGCGAGTATTGGGTGCATCTTCCCTGCTCGTGCTTTATATTTTTTCGCCACCTTGGACATGTGTGCATTCCACGAGCAGTCTTTTGCGATCTCTACTCCGAGGTATGTGTACTAGTCCACTACTGCAATCTCCTTGATCCCCCACTTCCATCTATGTTCTATTGGTTCCTCCTTGATCTCGTTGCATACCATGACTGTACTCTTCTAAACGTTGGCGGACAATCTCCACTTATCAGAATACTTTGGCGGGGGCGGTAAAAAAAACCAATTTTTCGCGGTAATTTTTCGGCGGTGTTGTCATACGGCGGTAATTGTTTTGGCGGTAGGCGGAAATACGATATTCGGCGGTAACGACTCTGGCGGAGGCGGTAAAACAGAATTTTGGCGGTAATTTTTCGGCGGTAACGCCATAGGGCGGAAAAAGTATTGGCGGTAGGCAGTACCGCGTTTTTTGGCGGTAACACGTTTGACGGAGGCGGTAAAACAAAAAGAAATAGCGGTAAAACGGTGGATTACCGGGACCGCCCGCTACGGCGGTAATTTCACGGCGGTAATGATTTACATTACCTATGGTCACAACTTCACGACACCAAACGAGGAGTCAAATGCGGTGGTAAGTTACCGCGCCCGAACGGACGGCAAACAAATTTGCCGAGGATTGATCATGTACTTCCACATTTTGTATTGTGGTTTTCACTAGTGGCTTTAATATTTTAGAGTCAATTCGACGCAAAATAATGCGCGCCTCCTCGTCTCCCTGTCCACTCAATACATTCAATGGTTTTCCCGAGAACGAACCCGAACCAACGAAAGAGATGCTTAAAGAAAATGGCCGGAAAAAGTACGTCCACACGTGGACTCGAAGTCCTGATTCAAGCTGTGGTTGTACCGCAATCGAGGCTAGACCTCTGCTCACTGCCAATCGTTCGGCGGCAACGTACCTACATGGCGGTAATTTTTCGGCGGTAATGCCATATGACGATAATGTTTCGGCGGTATTGACGTACGGCGGTAAGTGTTTTGGCGGTAGGCGGTAATGCTTTATTGGCGGATACGTCATACGGCGGTAGTTGTTTTGGCGGTAGGCGGTAACGCTTCTGGCGGAGGCGCAAAAAACAAAAAACGGCGATAAAACGGTGGGTCACCGGGACCGCTCACCACGGCGGTGATTTAACGGCGGAAAAATTACCGAGAAAACCCTTGAAATTTCGTCTTGCTGCCATATTTCTGACCATCGGCCAAGGGCAGCAGTAAATGCTTCTGGAGACTTGACCCAAAAGTTCGTACTTCAATATGACTTCTTTGTCCGAGCATGCGCGAAACAATCGTTAGGCAGAATTGCCCGCGAGAAGAACGGCGGGTGCATGTGTATTGTCTTTTCCTGGAGAGGCCGAGCATGCCAACGACAGCAAAGGACGGGTAACAACCGTCAATTCGTAGCTGCCAGCGTGGTCGCTCGAGATACCCTCTCGGTTAGACAGCAAACTGCTTGCCCTTAGACGTTTAGAGACCGAGCGATGCCCCCTCATTTTCAAAGCCAGTGAGTACGCGGTTGCCCTAGAGCACCTGGGCCCGGCTGCGCCAGAACTACTGTAACGGAAGCTCTGATGCGGTAATAGCTCTCTGCAACGCTCTGCATCGGTCGTCGAAAGGTCTGTGCGTTTTTCCTCGACTACGGTCGAATTCCACATACTCGACTCAGGCGAGCCCCCTACTCCAAAGGGGTGTAGTGCGCGTGTAGTGGCGATTCTCTGCCCCTTCATTTTTGACTCTCAAAACCAGATCAAGAGAGGATCCCAGCGACATGGCGTCTTCAACAGCTTTCACCCAAACAACACCGAAAAGCAACCCCATTTTCCAGCAGGAAAGAAATCGGCTTAACTTCACCTTCGCCAACGCGACTCCCGCGACCCCACCCGTACTACACCGCCAACAGGCGTTCAAACATGACAAAGGAGACTCGAAAAAGGAGAAAAGTGCTATAAACTAAAGCATCTACGCAACCAAAATGATTTTGATAGTGCAGGTCTACATCGATAGGTGCAGACCTTGGCCGGTTTGACGAGGTATCAGTCCACGGCTCTTAGCGAAGCGATAGCCGTCGAAAACCTCCCTCCGAGTACCGCTCGTTTCGCCGCACGTGGGTAACTTTGTTCCACCAGGCCAAAACGCTTGAGCATCAAAGCAGAAAGTCGCCAAGGGTTCACATCAGCCATCCGCCAACCACCCGAACCCCTCCACCCCATCACGACAACGCGTGAACCGCAGTCATTCGCCCACAGTAGGCCCAATGTATCCAACCATCCACGCGATCACCTTCGGCACACGCGTGGACGCCTTTACACCCACGTGGCCAAGCCGACCCACTGTCTACCCAGGACGTCCGGATCCGTGGCAAGGTCGATCAGACAATCCACCTGGGCAGGGTCAAGCGAAAGGACTGTACGGTAAGGGTGGTTCGCAATTAAGGAATCCAGCAAGAGAACAAAAAGCATCATATATACAAGTGATTCCTGTGGAGTGGGCTCATAAAAGCACAGTGATGTCAAGGGGCGATGCAAGACGAAAAGTTAAGCAGGCAGCAGGACTCACCCACAGATGACTGCCAGCTGCGGTGTGACGTTTCTCAAGCTCAACATCTCTCAACAGCTAAGTGGTTTTGACTCGAACAGCCCAGCGACTCTCAGCGGGCCAATAGAAAATACTTCGAAAATCTGTACAAAGTCTGATGGTGGTGGTACAACAAAGCAGTTACCGCCGTCACTCCTTATTTCGCGGGGCTGGAAGGGCAATTCGACAACAAACCAGTTGCGCGTATGGCCCGCCGTCGTTCACCGAAGGAAGCGCCAATGACAGCAATAGGTGATATGCAGCATTCATTTGTATCGCCGCTTCGCCTAGTCTAAATGTACCACGGACAGTCTAAACCACGCCATAGTTACCCACAAACCAACAGTCCGGGTTCTCCCGGCAAAGGCAACGGTATGGGTACTGTTCCGCGCCTGGTCTTCCACGGAGAGCCACCCCTCGCGGTGTTCCGGCTTAGATCGCACCCTGTCGCCGCTACTCCCCCAGGAGATGGCCTTAAGTTTCGCCAGGCTGCCTAATTTCTTGACAGAAAGGTTCTGCGCGAAAACGTACCCACCAATCGTAAGCGGGCACGCCCTTGTGAGGTTATAACCACATCAGAACGGTTTCACGTGCATCACTAACGAGACTCAGTACGTGTGAGCGGGTTTGTATTGAAAGGATGTGGAGCGATGATCTCGTTTTCGAAACGATTACCTGGCAGACAGCCAGGAGCCGCATTCCCACTGCCACATTGCCATATGGATGTTGGCCAAACAACAAACGCCACAGTATCGCGTGTGGAAAGGGCAACATCACAAAACACGTACCCACATAACTTACATACGGTTTGGCAAAATCAAGAGCAACTACGTTGGGCAGCGTCGAGCATCGGCCAATGTGGCCCGTATCTCTTCCAAACTGCCCTCGCAGTATTGTGCGTCGCGCAACCGCAGGGTCTTTCGAGGTCTTGACGTCAACGTGAAGTGGCCTTCCATTTGCACGCAAAGCAGAATCACAGAATTACAACGCCGTTTGAACTCTGCGAAGTCGGAGGTCATTTCGATCTTATGTATTCCTGCAAACGGTGAAAAATACAACGGTATACGGAGAAAAAAAAACAACCCTTCGGTTTCGCAAGGCAGCAGCTACAGCACCAACCTGTCCCAGGTCATCGATGAGGATCGCTGCCGGGTTCTCCCCAAGCAGCTTCCTCTTCGCGTTGTTGATCTTGCGGCGTGCTTCAAAGGGGGGACGCGGCTGGCCGGTAGAGCCATCATCTGCGGCGTCCTCTCCCGAAATGCCTCCTGTGGGTCGACGCGGAGTTCCAGAAAAAAGCAGGAGGCAGGAGGCGAGAACAGGACGGGGGGGAGGGTCGGGGGACATGCTATGAAACAACGGGGCCGCGTAGTCAGGGGAAGCATTTCCGGCTTCCTGGAATGTCAATCAAGGTGGTCATCATGGTTCTATTGCTGCTCTCCAGGTCTCTTTGTTGCAGAACTAGTGGGCAGGGTTTTGAGGGTATCACGGGAGAAAGCCAGTGACGTGTGCCTTGCGGAAGGGCGAGAGGAAAATGCGCGGAGATGATCAACCAAACCTTCTCGACTAGGTCTGGTAGACAGCGATGGAGTCAGGAGCCAATCAACCGTCACACTATCTGACAGCATCGACAACAGAGTCCTGTTTGTGGCCACTTGTTGAGTAACAGTGAAACAGTGTTGTCGTCACTTGTCCAAGGGGTACAAAACAGCGCCAAAGACTCGTGGTGTTGCAGGTGAGAGCTGCTCTGTGCCTAGTTGACCGAGCCCTGAACCTGGCAGGCGAAGAAAAACCCATCGGCAACTAAACAATCTGAACTTCTCCTGCCGCCCAAAACACTTCGTACTTTTCCATCCTAAGAGTTTAGTTTGCTGTCAGCCCGAACAGCCGTGACAAAGACGGTAAAGTCCGCCTCGATAGCATACGAGGGTTGTGCATCCAACTTAATCCACTCTTCCCTCATGCGTGCCCTCCCGATTGGAGGCCTAACTGGATGACGTTTTTAGTTACGTTAGAGGCCAGCATAGTGACAAAGAGGGCAAACACAATTCTCCTCAGTAACACAATATACCTGTACTTGAATAAACAGATTTATCGTTTGGCACAACAAAAACGTTGGTATTTTTGGCGCCTTGGAGAAGCACGCGGAGAAAAGCACACAGCTCGCCAGTCACCACACCCCGCCCTCACCGCCGCCCCTCTTGGTCTTTGCCTGCCTCCGCTCAACCCCCTCGCTTATCCAGTCCATGACCGGCTCGTTCAAGAACACGTCCATCGTCGCCAACAGCACCTCGCGTCCGCCCCTGAGAGCTTGGAGGGTGGAAACCATGTGCCTTTCGAGCACGACCACAGAGGGGGGCACGTTGAAGTAGGGATGGCACGCGCGGGAGGAGGGGTACTCAAGTTTTGCATGCCTTAGCGATAGACCACTGGCCTCACATCCCTACAAAGCCAGAACGGAACACGCCGGGTTCTCACCAGACCAGGCTCTCACGACACCAAGCGCGAAGCGCCGCGAGGTTTTGGCGAGTCGAAGGGGAGGGGGGTGTACTCATAGTCGTGCATGCCGTAGTCGTTAGACCATTGACCTCGCATCCCTACAAAGCCGGGACGGAGCACGCCGGGTTCTCACCGGACCAGGCTCTCACATCACCAAGCGCGAAGCGCCGTGAGATATTCGGCGAGTCGCATGAAGGGTGCGCTGCATCCTGCTAAGGGTGTTCGGCATCTTGTGCTTACTTCCTTGCGTACGGATGACAGCTGCGTATGAATTAATTTATTTTCTGGTGCTTTCACTTCCAGAGACAGTTGTAAGCACTGTGTAACTGCCTCGAGGGTGCTTGACCATTTTAACACAACGTGGTGCGATCATCCCCCTTGCGCGGAGCGGGTTCTCCACCCCGCACAACATGGTCTACTCGACCACCATTATGGTTACCGCCAAAAAAAAAAAACGGAGGTAAAAAAAAAAAACGGTAACCTGGTTGCCGAGTTCACGAAGTGAATTGGCTTGTTTTACAACGTCCTTGCCAAGCGACGAAAACCCAACCCCGATGGTAAAACACCGGGGGGGGCGGCTTGTTTTACAACGTCATTGCCAAGCGACGAAAACCCAACCCCGATGGTAAACACCGGGGGGGACGAGGCGTATCGATAGGGGCGAAGGGTTCTGGAGGACTGGAGAACGGGTGTCCTCTGTAGTCGGGGAAGTCAAGTACAGGGAGGCAGGCATGCGCAACTTTCGGACTTACGCCAACAACGGCCCCACGTATATTCCAGACGATGCAAGAAACAAGCAAGACTGCCGGCGGTCAAAATCACTCGTTTGTAAAAGAAAACATCCTTACCCCTTGAGCAGGCCGATACTATCGAGCGGCTGCAGCAGGTTCTGGAACTGGTTCGTGAGGCGGAAGGGGATCAACTCCGGCACACCCAGCTCCGTGTGTGCGATCCCGAACGCAGCTCCGAAGTCGATCCCTACCACCGTCCTGGATGTTTTCGAAATTCAGTTTGATTCAGTCGTGATTAGAAAATTAGCCAACATAGGGAAGGGTCGTTAATCATCCACAACTCCGGCTGTGGCGATGTATTTTCCCGACACATGTGTCACACCCTCCAGCAAGCAGCATGCGATTTTCAAGGCTTCGCTGTTTCATCCAATACTGCAATTTGTTCTTTTGAGAATGCGCGAACACTAGAGTATCTGGTACACAGCTTGAAGCAGGAACGCATCTCCGTCAGTAACTACTTCTGCCGCTGCCAGCAATAGAGGGATTCCCCACGGCGTGTCGATCCCGCCAGCTTAGTCTAACGTCCCGTACCCCTCAGATCTTCGTGGACTGGGTACTATGGTAAGCAATCCGGAGAAAACGACAACGACAACAACAACAACAACGACGACGACGACGACGACGACGACGACGACGACGACAACGACAAAAGCAACATACCCTGTCGTGGTGTCAAGGAGGAAGTTGTCCAAGTGGCGGTCCCCTATCCCCAGCACGTACGAACAGGCATTCAGCGTCGCCAGAGACCTTGCAAACCCTCCCCTGAACAAACCCACGCGGAGAAGACGGGCGGGGGTTGGGAAACGCTACCGTTGGAACGAATATTGGCCGCGTATGTCGGAGAGGAGGCCACTCCTACGCCAACAAAAGCTAATCGTTGCCTTATGAAGAAGTTTACTCATTTTGGTCATGCGCGAGGGCTGGGAAATATGCCGAGATACAAGTTCAAGATCGGAAGACGTGTCCGCTGGTGCGTGGAGCACGCGTTGTTAACCTCCTTCTCTACCGAAACATGCTCTGTACCCCATCCCGTACAAAACCCCAAGCATATCAAGGTAGCCATACGAAGAACTCATGACCTATTCATCCTGGACTCTTGGGCGGTTTCTTTAAAGGTTCAGAAATTTTGTTCAAGAATGTGTAATTGCCCATTCGGAAAAAAAAAACGTGTCGGTCATGACGCTTGTTATTGTGCAGTCTTTTTTTGCACTGCTGGTTAGGAATGCGGCCGTTTGTTTTTCCATTTGCTACCCCCGTACCACCTCATCATCCCGTCGGATTGATTTTTCGGGGATTTGTGTGCACTGAGCGATACAACAGCAAGAGTATAGTAATCCCATTGTAGCTGTGCGTATGGCGCCTCATGTGGGGTGGTTGAGAATCGAAGTTGGCGAGGGGGGCAACTGCTGTTCGAAAAAGACCCACGCTCGAACTAACAGCTTTCGACTGATTTTTGCTCCATCACAGCTTTGTTCTCGTGACGACCCCTCGTCACTAACCGAACCAGCAGATACCACAAGGCCATCCGTCCGTAGCTGTGTGTATTNCATGTGGGGTGGTTGAGAATCGAAGTTGGCGAGGGGGGCAACTGCTGTTCGAAAAAGACCCACGCTCGAACTAACAGCTTTCGACTGATTTTTGCTCCATCACAGCTTTGTTCTCGTGACGACCCCTCGTCACTAACCGAACCAGCAGATACCACAAGGCCATCCGTCCGTAGCTGTGTGTATTGTGCTTCTTGTGATGTGGTTTTCAGAGGCCATGACGCGCTGGGAGGCTGAGCAACGAAGTTGGCGAGGATGGACTGACTGCTGTATTGTTCGAAAAATGCTATCATCATCATCATATCGCTCACTGCTGACCAGGTTTCTCGCCGTGTCATCGTGGTGCTGTAGCTATCCCTCTCCATTAACTTAACCAACAGCAATGACACAGCCCCTCCGACAGAGAGCAGTTGATGGAGCTCACATCCTCTCAAGTTTCAGCAGCAAGGGTGATCTAGCGAGCGAGAAAATGAACATATCGTCCATCGATGTGTGTGTGTGTTGGTATGATGCTGCGTGTCTTGAGGGTCTGGGCAAGCGGTGGGTCTGTCAGCTGGCCAACATTTTGCTTTGAGCGCAACTGGCCGCACGGCAACCACATATGAACGGCTGGGATCGCAGCACAGTGCTCCGAGGTTTACTCGGAGCCCTTGATGAGCTCACCACGACCAGTACGTCCTGCGCAATCGATGGTTGTGTCCGTGCGGTGTGCATTTTCAAACGCAAAAACAAACGCAACATCCGATCGAAAATTGTCATCATTTCCAAACGCATGACCGGTTGGAAGCGTGAAATCGAAAATGGTCAGGCGGAAAAGTGTCATTTCCGATCTTAAAAGAATCAGTTTTTGGTCTGAATCTGGAAATGCACGTTTTTGAACTGCATTTCCGCACGTTATAAGAAACCGCCTTACCTGTGGAAAACTGAGAGTTGAAATTGTTGTGGTGTGCGTAAAAAAAAACATGGAACAATTTGCGGGACACTTGTATCTGTGGATACTTTTGAAATAAGTGTGTTTCGGTATGCAAGATAGATCAGACGGACAGAGGAAGGTGATTTCAAAATATGAAGACGACAACAACAAAATCACGGGACAATCGGTGGGACACCTAAATATTCAATACCTGCACGTCAAGAACGCTTCCGGGGAAGGAGCCATCGCCAGAAGGTGCTTCCTCAGCGCGTCAGTCGGCACCGTTGCGCAGCACGTGGCGAACATTTCTTCGACCTGGAGCGACGGGACGGTTGAAAGGGCGACGGAAACATAACTTTAGCATCTACTCATAAACTTAGGTACCCCCCCCCGAGCCACCTGTGGCTAGCTTCTGGTTCATCCTTTGTGACACGTAGCCTGGGCCGGCGTGAACTCGGCGTATCACTCCGTCCCGGCATTGTAGCGATTCGAGGTCAACGGTCTGACGACTACGGCATGGGACAACATGAGAATACCCCCCCCCGGCCACCTGCGCGCAAGTCTCGTTCGAGTGAGAGCTCGGACAGCACACAATATATGTATCATGCTTCTAAAATACGTTGCAACACAGCCAATTTGTCGATTTTTTAAAAGAGCTTTTCCTGAGGAAGCATGTACACAGAATGCTCGTTAAAAATACCCTCCCCGAGACATACACGCAAGCAAGGCAACACAGGGGGAAACCACAGAACCATCCCCCCGTCGACCGATGCCACTTGTTTTGTGTCGCGGTTGAGTTTTCGCCTCACCTTGGCACGCCCTTCCGTCTTGAACATTTCGTGGAAATTCGGAGCCGGGAATTGCTTCGGCTTGGCCTTCAGGAACCTTTGCGAGGAAAGACGCAAAACAACGACAAAACGATGCTTGCACAAATATTTACGGTTGCGTGCATCCATCCTGCCCTGTGTTCCATGGAGTCAAGGCTGATATATGAGTGGGGGCGCAGGGATAATTTCGAACCTCATCGCATTAACAAGTCGGGACGTGTTCGAAACAGCGCCACCTCTCGAAGAAGCAATGCGGGCAGGTATGCATAGGTGCCCATTGGATGGACCCCTTTGTAACAAAAAAAAACAAAACTAACTTGGCCGTATCTGACAAACGCGGCATGCCCGTCGACGACTTACTCCCCAAAAATGTCGAGAGCGCTAAGGGACCCCAGCTTGGTACCGAGCCCCTGCTCTATGACCGACTTGAGGGGCCTCGTGTTCTGGACCCACTCGATCAGCCCGATCTCGGGCGTCACTGGGACCACCTGTTGACGCCGATCCATGACAAAACAAGAAGAACATTTGACGTTGCTGTTTTAGGTTGTTGCGGCGTTCCAAACGAAATGTTGCACTGCTTGATGTAGCGCTGATACAGCGTTGTCAAGGTATGCGGTTGAAGCGTACGGGCCGTCGAGTGGTGTGGCTTGTACTAAAAACAACCTCCAGCCGCCATCACGACCTTGCCAAGCTTCGTGAAGGGGTGCGAAGTCGCAAGTGAGAAGCACAGGCTACGAAAATGTGCGTGGAAACGCTCAAGATGGGCGCGAGGGGCGAGGGGCGACGGGAGGGGGGCAACCTCTTGTGGTTTGGACACCTTACCGGTTAGACCGATGACCACGCGTCCTTGAGAGGACGGAGCATTGTTCTCACAAGACCGATCACCGATGGTCAATCCTTCTTCCTGCGGGAGGGGTGGGGGGCTAGTTGACCCGAGACAGCCCCTCCACCTCCGTACACGCTCCTGGTTTCATCCACAGAGTCCCTCAAAAACATGTTCTCCGAACAATCGTCGAGACTTTCTCCAAAAAACCTTCATGACCTCGAACTTTCCCACCTTGTAGGTGGTGTTGGAGAGCCTAGCGCGCCTGCAGCTAGCCGACGTGGCCATGACGGCGTTCATGACCTCGAACAGCTGCTCCACGCGCTGGTCCACACGGAGGTCCTCCCCTCCTTTCACCTGCCCAAGAAGCGTGCGAAATCGGCAAGCGAGGGCGGCCGAAAACAAGGTTTTGGTCTCCATCTACTTTAAGTCTACAGTAAGTTGCAGTGTTCGGGATTTTGCTTCATCGGGAGATACCGACAGAGGGTAAGAGACTGCTACTGCCTATCAATATTTTTCGAAGAATGATCTTTGGGTGACCATGGCCTGGCCCACTGCTCTCCAGGTAAAGAGATATCGCCCTCGGAAATATGACGGGTCGCTGATAGGGAAATCCTGATGTAAATGGGAGGCAAAATAGTCGCCAAAAGAAAACGGTGCGTTCCCACCGGTGGCCCGCGACGCCGTACACCAGAATGCGGGACTGTGCATCGGTTGCAGCATTGTTCTATTGGCCAGTGATGAAGAGGCAAGTCGTCCAGTCCCTCACTTGTGACCGCCCGGCACAGTTCTTCAATAGCAGAGAGGGCAAGAGGACGCCTTCGATCACTGGTGGCATGTTCGTCGGTTGGCGCTATGAAACGAGGCGATTCTGTCGGTGCCTACCATGTCTTGATAGCTGGCCGCAGAACTTGGATGATTGTCATCGACACAACTATTTGCCGTCAACTCCGTCATTCTCTCCTCTTCCCGAAAACAGGATACAGAATGAATATGCTGTTGGAGGGTTCGTGAGAAAACACGAACTCTGTCGTACCACGCACACGCCGGCCGGTTCCTCTCCACAACTAGCCAGCAGTCACGCTATCTCTTCACCCGGTCGCTTCCCCGACAACAACCCACCGGTCGCCAACGTATGCTCCACGAACGCCACTGTAAAACCCTCTAGCCCTATTCATGGCTCCTCCTCGTGCAATAAACCATGGGCGCCGTCCTGTTTGCCGTGACGGTTTCTTGAGAACGATCTCTGAACCTTCTAACTCCTATCTCCGACGCTAACCCTACAACCCCCTACACCACTCACCAAGAACATGTGGTCCTTCTCGTCATCGCCGTGCATCGTCAGCCGCTTGGGCAGTCTCAGGGAGTTCATCAGCAAAAGCTCGCTATCGAAGCTGGACAACATCAAAGAAACGGCGAAAATGGAAAAGGTTGTTGATTGCTTATCCCAAGTTCTTGAGGCTAAAGATCACAAATATATGGTATTGTTTGCTTCTTTACAGTAAATTTCTTGGGTGGAAAGCCAAAATCGACTCGTTTTTTTTGCTGTGTTCGCATGAGCCAGAAACATCCTGATCTCCATTTATGGTTGACCTCTTATTCCGCCCTAACCCTGCCCGTACAGACACGAGCGCGGCACAAGTACAAAGCTATTGCCAAGTTGTGTTCCCACGATATTTCGCCGTTCCGATGAATATGCCCTGCAGGCGTTACGTAGCAGGCCGCAACTCCTTCACGGCAGCAGAAACGTCGCGCTAGGGCCAAGGGATAGAGTGGCTCTAAGACTCTTGCCGCTACCACACGCCAAACCAACGTCGAACGCAGGCGAAAATCTTCAAGTATTGGAGGAGAGCATCGGGGTCCTGAACCAACCCAGCCAAACGTTGCCGTTCCCATGCCAAGGCGTATGAAACCCAAACACCTTTCTGGCACGGAACACAAGGGGGAAGCTCTCAATCCCTGGCGCCTGCACCGAAACAAAAAGCGCACGCTCTTGCCTGACAATGCGACTGTGCAGGGAAACCCGGGGAGGGGCGGCAGACATCCCCCCGTACTGTCCGGGGACCTCTAGCTTGTGCCGGTTGGAGTCGAAGTCGGACATCCACGTCGAAAAACCTGAAAGCTTCAGCCGGGAAGACTTCTTTACCTCGAGCTGCCATTTTCTTCCTGCAGTTGGGGTGGTTGTTGTTGGGGGGGGGGGATTGGTTGTCGGTACAAGGTTGGTGAGTTCAGCCGAGAATAACAGACGAGGTGCGTGGTTCCGGGTAATCGTAGCATCGTGTCAACAGTTACGTTCTTTGTGAGAGGTTACACGCGCAGATGGCGACTTGGCAATCACTCAACTTTAAAAAGAAACATCGAACGTTACGAGATGAAGGCTTGCTCGCCCATGCCCGAACAACAACCCAACCGAGGCCAACCGATGCACTCCAGCTTCACTCTCCGGCGGTTGTCCCCGGGCGGCACATGTTCTCACCTTGGAACAGGAAGCGCCTAGCCTCGCGGTCGTTCAGAAGTTCCCCGTCCTTGCCCATGGCCTTGTCCAACTCCCTGATGTGCTTCTTGGCAAACTCACGGTTGTACGAACCCACCTTTGACACAAGCGGAAGGCGGAAAGACATTCGTTTGCTTGCTTAATCGTTCCGGGGAGGCCGGACGGGTAGCTTGTAGACGTTCACAACTACATCGGAGAAGGGCATCGTCTACCCACGCTGGTGGGGCAGACTCGGAACCATGTCAAGAAAACATGCTCTACTAAGATAGGCCTCGATAACCGAACCCAGCTAAAATTAAAATTCATGCACCGAATAAATCGTTGCGTACCTCCAGCGCTCTGACATCTGGGAAACCAAACGGACACAAACAGTTTGCGGTACGACCTGCTCGCGGTTTGTGCGAACCCTCTATTCTTGGGACACCTCTCCACGAACGCAAGTGCCGGCTGTCTCTCCACGCGCCTTGGTGTTGAATGCCACGTATACAATTGGGCAAACGACTCCAGCGATGCTATCCATTACAATCAAGAGAAAACGGCGCTTGACGTTCCTCGGGGGGGGGGGGGGGCACGCACCTTGTCGTCCCCTGTCTTGCGGCCGGTGGTCACGAGGCAGTCGTTCCGCAACTTCCGGTAGGCCACACGAGCAAGGTCTATTTGGGACTTGTTCAGTAGCCCGCACACCCGCTTCATGCCGTCGGAGAACCGCATCTCGGGGTGATGTAGCCCACGTAGGGCCTGATCGAGGGAAGGAAGGAGTGGGAGGGGGTTGGGGTCGCACATCCCTCGATGCTTCCTAGTCTTGGTACACTCCAATTTGATTGCTCTGGATTATCTATTCAATTTACGAAGACAAGCTGCTTGCTGATGGCCGCGGGCAGAAACACGTGAGGAATACGCAGCAGGCGGTACATAACTGTAGATACCTCACCAAAGGCTGGGGCGTGTTTTGGCCGCCTGATTGTCGTTGGGATTGGGCCAAAATAACAGGTGGCTTCCCGCATCGCCGAGTCTGCCCCGCAGGACCAACACATAAGTACGAAACAACGCTCCGCGTACGAGATAAAGCTTTTCGCCTGCACATGCCTTCGACACACGCCGCCAACAGACACCAGTGACACACGATACGGATGGACTCGTAAGTCTAACCGGCGTCAATCAACGACGAAGAGGATGCCAGACCAAACGGTACGCACGCCCTCAACGAGGAGATTTCAACGCCGAGGTTTCCGGCACCGTAATTCCATTCACTGCAGAGCAATCGGGCCTTGAAAATCGATCCAGGGTTGTGTGCTATCTTACGTCATGCCTCCCACGATCATTTTTGCATGTTTTTTCTCATCGATTACCTCGGCAAACGCCTCCGCGGAAGGGTCAGCGGTCAGGGCTGTGAGTCTTGAGAGCTTTCGCCCGTCGTCATCGGCTCCGGCACCCCCTTCGCCGTTTCTGGCCGCCGCCGATGCCTTCGTCATGAGCAGGGGGTAGAACAGCGCTCGAGGGTAGGCGAGCGCCACCCGCTCGAGAACCTAGAACCCAAGCGTCAGTGGAGGTTCAAACTAATCTGTCGCCGCTGTGTTCTGTACCACAGAACTCTCGCAGAAACATGGTTGACAAAAGCGGACACTGCAAAAATAAGGGTGGATTTTCAAACTAATCTGTCGCCGCTTGTCCTGTGCCATTGAATGATGGCAGAACGCTGTTGATGCAAGTCGATGCCACGATAAACAACGATGATGAGCATCAGCAAGAACAGGAGGGCAGAGGACGCGCACCACGCTCAAGGCTGGACTCGAAAAGCCTACGCGGTGCCTGAAACGTCTCGTTCGCTCCTCCTCAGCACCGGCACTTACATACACTATGCGACACAACAAGGAGCGAGACAGGCAGGCACAAAACCTCTTCCCTCAAAAGTCCCTCAAAAAGCACACCGCCAACAAGATGCGGAACGTCATCACTCTTCCGTTTTTCTCCTTAAGCTTGCCACAAACGAGTCTCGCCTTGATCACCACAGGCCCCTCCTCCCGCCCTGTAACCCCGAGCATCTGCCATCTCCATCGCAGGAACGTCCACTCGGGTACAACCGACGCCCCGTCCGCGAACGCCGCGCGAGCCTTGGAGAACTTCCCCGCCAGGTAGAGAACCCTCGGGAAAGAGTCCCTCGCGCCGGCAGACCTAAAAACAGCGAGACACATCAGCAGTTGGCCGTGACCGTCAGTGTTGTCCGCACACTTGAAAACAAAGAGACATCAATTTCGTTGGAGCGTGGCAGGATAAGGCAGATGCCCGGGTGGTCCGAGGTGCAAGTAAATAGGAGGATACGTGGTTTCATGGCCAGAGGGTGGCATGATAGGGTGCGTATCGGGTACCACTATTTAAATTGACATACGCTGTAACTCGCGGAGATCGTCTTCATTCATCACAGCAGCTGACTTTCTCCCTGCCACAGCGGCATTCAAGACAAGACCGCCGTCAGGCCTGTTCGCGCGTAGGAGTGCTTCTCCAGAAACGGGCCTCGCCGTGTGCGGCAGCGAATTCGAAGAGGTTCGGGAGAGTAGCGCACAACCGCCGTGAGTAGTGCACATAATGCGGGGGGCCTCCTCGCGTGCTTGCAATTCCTCTATGCCCTCTCCGAGAGGGTGTTTGCAGACCGTACCCCAGGGTTTCACCAAAAGCAACATGGAATCGATGGGAGGATGCCGAACTGGGCACAAAGCGACGTTTCAAGCATATTCTCCAGCAGAAAAAGAGCACAACAGGGGCATAACCACCACAAGAAGGCACAATTGTCCATTGCAAGCATATGCTCCCGTAAAAAAGAGGAGAATAAACAGAGTAAAAAAGTCGCAGAATGGTAAAAGGCCTACAAAAGTGGCTCACCCGACTCCCATGGCCCGAAGGTACTCCTTCACGGCGAGCGCGGCCAGGTCTTCCCGCCCCCTTCCCCTTACATCTGACATGGTGCTGTCCCCGGCGGACATGGTATCGCAAAGCTTGGCCAGCCGCAACATGGCCTCGCCGGTGGCCTCGACGGCTCCCGGCGTAGGCGTCGTCCCGGAGGCGTTTCCATCGGAACTCCCGGGGGTCGGGGACAGCTTGGATCGGGGGGGGCGCACGGTCAAGCTGTCCCCGAGTTCGGTGGCCTTCTCCAGGCTGGCGAGGGATGCACGGAAGCTCTCGGCTGCCTCTTCCTCCTGGACGCATACATGCGTGCATAAACAGGGGTTGACAAGACAAAGGATGCCTAGCTTCAGGTGTGGGTGATCGGTGTACGGGAGGCGAGCTTGCCTGGGAGGGGAAGAGGCAGGTGGACTCTGCCGGTTTAGGGAAGGTGGGGTGTGTGGTTCAAGCTAAAAAAATAGCGAATCGATCGATAAGTTTATCGAATGCATTATAGACCTACTGGGCTCGATGATGTGGTCGAGGAAGGGCGAGAGCATGCGGATCTGTCGCGGTCGATGACATGGACTGCAACAGGTTAAAAATTCAGTTCTGGCCTAGCGGATGGCTTGGATGGAGTGAACCGCAGCTATTGACAATTTTTGGTTCGCTTCTGGTTCTCGCCGACATGGTGAGCACTGTCGCGGAATTCGACAACCCAACAATTCCGAAAACCTGTATTTCTGAACATGGACGATCGAACCACCCAAACATTACAATCACTCCAAAGCCCCCGGCACGTCATATAACCAAGCAACAACTCGAATCAAGTCAATGAAATCGAGAACTTGCGTAAACCATGCCTCAAGCACTCAAGTTACCGAAGCGTGAACAGCTTTACCTGCCCCCCTCCGGAGGAGTTGTTCTCCGCCAGCAAATGTCCCTTCGTCTCGAGCCACTGCCCCTGAAGCGTCAAGAGTCGCAGCCGTGTCTCGTGGGCTTTGGCACCTTGTGTCTCCCACCCCTCGCCCTCGCCCCACCCTGCTCGCCACGCCGTCAATGGTTCGATCGTTTTATTGTTAGTGTCGGGAATAACTCACCGACGTTTGTCACCGTTAGGAAGAAAGACTTATCTCTTATCATACGTCCAGCGGTAGCAGCGGTGCCGTCAACTCTTGCCTGATATGGTTGGCATCACGACAACACCACCACCGCCCAAACAAATACCAAGCCAAGGGGATGGCAAATAGTCGACGTCAAGAGCGCCATCACAATCACGACAGGCAAGGTCATGGGCAAAGTATATAGCCCAACCAGGGCCATAATCCCATCAATTTTCAAATCCAACATCAACCAAGCCAAAAACCACCACCTCCAAACCACGAACGCCGACAACAGCAGCAACGGCGCTGCTGTTACTCACCTCTAGTGTCGCCGCTGGCACGCTTCCCCATAGCCTGTTGCTGCTGCGAGATGCACCCACCGAGCACCTTGAGCGTTCTCGCCACGTAATCAGCTTGCTTTCTCGCGAGGTCCGCCCCGGTCCTGCCGCAATACCAACAACAAGCGGCGACAGTAGCGTCGAAGAAACGGAGGCGCGGCGAAAAAATCATCCTGCTGACACTCCTCAAGCTAGAGGTGTCCTCACCGTACAGCAGTGAGCAAAGTAGCGCGGCGCGACCTGCCGCGGCTGAGTGTCTTCGCAGTAATGATAACAAACCAAACACCATGTATCACGCAAGCGTTCTGTCCCTTGTTCTCTTCGAACCGAACACGTGTACCTGCCTACCTAACATCCTCACCTACCGCCACCGCCGCCGCCACCACCAATAACTCGCGTTTTTTCGTGTCTGAACCGAGACCAGATAAATCCTCCAAATACGACAAAAACCTACCGGTTCCCAGCCAAACGCAAACGTTCGAGCCTGACCCTGTTGAGCTCTACCGTGGTCAGAGTCAATTGGAGGTCCCAATTGTCATCTCCATCTGTGCCTGACCGGGTCCAAATCGGAGGAGAAAAAAGCACTCGATATGAGTTTGGGGCGGAGAACTTCCCTCCTTTTGCGCAAAAAAAAGCAAGAATAAAAATCCACGTAACGAAAAGCGAAGTTACACAATTGTTTTGTCCACATGTACCCTACTCCGGTTGAGGTTGGATCAATTGCCCTTTGATGCCGTCATAGGTGGGATTACGGGTCGGTTCAAAGAAGACACTGAGGTTGAAGCACGTCTTGGTCGCAGTCTTTAAGTTACGTTTCTCATCCGCCCTACCGAACTGCATACCTAGCATTGCTTCAGTCAAACGCGTTGTACTACATAATAAAACCATGGTAAGATTACGATGGCAGGATTACCATGGTAGGTTCTACCATCACAAGCGAACGTCCATGGGCAATTCCCAACTCCAGAAAATTGCGCAGCAATGGCTCCCGGATATTGCCTAGCTGAAAACATCGTGTTGTAGGACACAAGCTAGCAGTTACCGTCACGAACGAACGTCTAAAGGCGAATTCCCAACGCTGCGTGTTTGGCGAGGCTCTGTTGCGATGGCTTCGTCTCGGGGCACACGTACATTGTTCATCTTGGCGTGTGTACTCTATATTCACAGCGTTCAGATGAGAACTTGAAGCAGCCATGGTGCAACACCGTATAACAAAGCCCATGTACAAACTGGAAACTCCGTCGCAAGCGTACCTCTGTGGAAATCTGCTGTTGCGCCAGCACGCAGTCAGAGAAAGCCGATCGAAACAAAACGGGGAACAAGAGCTGTTTGTCCTTGCAATGAAACCAAACAGCACAGTTCAAAACGAACTGTAGGGAAGATTTTGTGTTGAACTCACCGCTTCATCTCCCTCGTTCTCGACAAAGGTACATCCAGATTAAAAAAACGGTAGCCCGTATTTCCAGCGAACTCTGTAGCACGCTGTCTCGTCGCAAAACACACTCTGCATCGAACGCATAGCAGCAACGAGATTACGATACCTACACACGAACATTCGAGCGTGCTGCCCTCAAGAATACCTCGCGTCGGTGGCGCTTGCCCCTCCTTATCACTCGCGGCCCCCAACCGGCCGGCGCTATCCTTAAGATCCGCGTAGGACTTGATGAGCTTCGCGGCCACGTTGTGCACGCCCTGGGCAGTGGCGGCACCTGGGCAGGGTTTCGGACGTACAAGGTGAGGTGGGAGAAATTCGCTCAAGCGAAATATACATGGATTTCTGGCCTGCGACGTGTGCAGTGTTGTCAATACAAAGCCAGTGTTCTTTCACCGGGTGCTTGCAAACATTTACACTAGGGAAACGAGCATGTTTGGCACCTGAATGGGCGTATCGGGCAGGTGCGAAAACTTGGCTCCTGGTCTTCTTTGTCTCCCTTTGCGTGTGTATAACCGGCATCTGGTGATTGGCTCCGCCTCGCACTTACCTCGACTAGCAGCTTCAGCACCAAAAAACAACCACAACCGGAACAACAACGACTAAGATGACGACGGCAATAACAACCACCACCTTGACTACTCGGGAGAAATCTCCAAGGCACACAGAACTATGTCGAAAAAAGGATAAAACGTGGTATTCGATATGCTTCCTTCTTTCCGGGAGAGCTGGACCACAATGACACATAATCACAGTCATGGCACAAGGACACAAAACGGTCTAAAGACACGACACGAGACACAGCAGTCGGTCACACGACCCGTCACCTGCGGCAACGAGGGACAAGTCGCCCGTGTGCTTCAGCATGTCCCGCCGTAAGGCCACCGTCTGCTTCTCTGGAAGCGCTGCCTCCTCCAGGTCGACCTGATCCGAACCACGTCAAGATACACATGCGTTTCGATTGCGACGGTTTCAGTTTCAACGCTTCCTGATTTTCGACAGCCTGCTTGCGGGTTCCGGCTACCAGCAGACGTGGGTACGTGAGAGTTTCGGTGCTCGCAGTGGAGTCTACCGAGCGAGGCCTTCAACCACTGACACGTGACGCGTGTTTTGCAATGACTCGTTGGAATCATGGTGCAGCGCATGACCCGCACTTGTGCCAAGTTTGCATTTGAAAAGTCGCGGAAACAGGTTGGCAGGACGTGTGGAGCCCGACTAGGAATCAATCGGCCGCATGGACTCTTTTGACCCGCACGTTTTTTCAATTGACATCGTCCATCTGATCTCGAGCCCGACCAGGTCGCTCTCTCTCTCTCTCTCTCTCTCTCTCTCTCTCTCTCTCTCTCT